CCCTGCCGCCCGTGTCTCCCTGCATCGTTGGGGGGGCTGCGGCCCCCACTGCTGCTTGCGGGCGGAGGCCCTGGTGGCCCTGGGCCGGGCCCCCCGCACCCGCTGGGCCCCCCAGCAGGACTGGCACTGGGCCCGGCGCTACGGGCTGCCCTACGTGGTACGAGTGGACCTGAGCCGGGTGGCCCCTGCCCCCCCTGCCGCTGGCCTGGCCCCTGGGGCCCCGGGCCCACTCCCCCTCCCCAAGCAGGCCCTCGCCTTCGCCCCCTTCTCCCCACCCAAGCGCCTGCGGCTGGTGGTCAGTCACGGCTCCATAGACCTGGACGTCAACAGTGACGGGCCCTGACGGCCCCACACGGAGCCTGGGCCTCCGGGAGCAGGGTCCCTCCAGACCCTGGCGGGCTGTGCTGGATTCGCCACCCCTGGGGAGGGGGGGTACCCGACCTCTGGGAGGGAGCTGACCCTTGACCCCAGCACCGCCCCAGCGTGGGAGGGGTGTGGCTGGCCACCCCAGGGATGGAGCCCTCCATAAGACTGCTGACCCCTCTGGCCCCGGAGCCCTTGCAGCCCTCCCAGCCCCCGCCTCAGCACGGGGCCGCTCCTACCCTCCCCCCGGAGCAAAGCCATAGGGGTGGGGGCCAGCACCTGCCGAAGCCCAGGCCCGAGGTGGGCGCGGGGAGCTGGGGTGGCCTGCCTCGGGGGGTGCTTGCTGTCTGACTGCTGGGGCAAGGTGGGGTGTCGGGGCCAGTCCCACCACCCAGGGTTTGGTGGGTCTCAGGGAGGCCGGAGCAACCTCGTCTTTCTCATGGTGCTACCCCTGGTGCTACTGGGGTGTGGGGGCTTCCTCCCTCCCACGCCAGGACGTGGTGTGTTGGGGGGTTGGAAGCACTTGAACTTTTTATTTTATTAAAACCTTGTCATAAGCAACACCCTGGGAGCTTCTCGTTCAAATTTTGAGGGGTGGCCCTCGGCGGGGAGAGCCTCTGAGCCTTGCTGGGGAGAAGAGCCAGGAAGGGAGAGGCATGGAGGCCAGCGACGCCCTCCGTGCCATCGGGCTGGGCCTCCGCATCCCAAGGTCCTCTGCGGTTCACATCCAGGGACTGTTACATGCCGCTGTTGGCCGCCTTCCCCCGGGGAAGGCCAGCTGGCTGGGGCCTGGGGGAGGCCCCTTGCGGGTCCTGGGCCCTGGGCACTTGAGTCCGAAGTCACGGTGTCCAGGCGTAGATGAGAGCAGCACCAGGCCTGTCCTGCTGGCCAAGGCTACTGGTGACCCCTCAGGCCCTTGTGCACGGAGCAGACGTGCCCTAGGCTGGAGGTGGGCACCTGACTCCCTGCGGCCAGGCCGCAAGGCCGCTGCGCCATGAGCCCAGGCCCAGGCGCAGCTGAGACCCGCAGGGCTCCCTGGAAGAACCTGGCCAGGGCCTCCTCAGCATGGGCTCCGCCCTACCGGTGCCTGCTCCTGGAGGACAGTGTGGAGCCCCAGCACCGTGGAGGAGTCTGGATGTGGGGACCCTAGGGGAGCCGCCTCAGGCCGGGCCACACAACGGGATGTCTTCCAGCGTCCCCCGCCCCATCACAGCAGAGGGGACCCCCAGTCAGGGAAGTCAGGCAGCCAGGGGCGAAGGGGGCTGCTCAGCTCACACCCCTGCCCCGGAGCCCTCAGTCCCCATTGGTGGCCAGCTGCCCTGCAGCCTCCTCCTCTTGAGGCGCTGACCCCTTCACACACACAGGCGGCCTTGGGCAGTGGGCTGTCCCAGCCACGGGTGGTGGTAGCCAACAGCTCCCGGGGTCTCAGGAGGTGCAGGGCACCAGAGCTGGGCCCACTCACCAGCTCCAAGTGCCCCCATGGTTCATTCAGACCCCCAGACCCAGACAGCAGTGGACCAGACCCTGCTCGGCACAGCCCGGGAGCGCAGGCTTCCTGGCTGAGACTCGGGCCAGAGGTGGGTGCAGGACTGTGCGGATCTTAGGGGAGCTCCGGGGCGGGAGCGGGACTCGGGGCTCAGCCAGGCCCAGGACCTCAGGATGAGGAGACCGGCAGTGGCTCCCAAGGGCGGGAACAGGTGCTGGCGGGCCCTGGAGTGGAGGGGGAGCTCCTGGGGGAGCCCCGAGAGGGGTGGGGCGGGGATTAGGGGTGGCCTGGGAGCAGGGCTGGAGATGAGGGGAGAAGAGTGGACAGGCCTGAAGGGTGGGGCAGCCAGGGCAGCTGGGGCGCGGGGGGCATGGGGGGGCCGCAGGCGAGGGGGCCCCACCATGGTCTCTGGCCCTGGCCCACGGTGTGTGGACAGTGGGGATGGCACTGAGGCTGCAACTTCAGGACAAGGGGTGGTGCTGGGGGAGCCTGAAGATGGGGGGCCAGTTTGGGGCAGCTCTGGGCAGTGGTGTTGGCCAGCAGGTGGGAGGTGGCCCTGCTCAGGCCCCTGAGGGTGGGAGAGTCCAGAGTCCTGAGGCGATGGGCAGGCCCACCTTACCAGCAAGGGGGGGATGGGGTACCTGGGTCCAGCGGTAGCCCATGGGCAGGCCCCTCCCTGTACCTTCAGTCTCCCTACAGGCTTGGGGTGGCCTGGGCAGTCAGGGTGGAGTCAGTGGAGAGGGCTTTCTGGGGTGTGCCTTGGGCTGGGGTGCTGAGGGTCCAGTGGACAGGTCTTGGCTGGGCTGGAGCCGCCCCCCATCTGATCGCAGGACTGTTTCATTATAGCTGGGAACCTCGGGAACTCAAGTGCAGACGCCAGTTCAGGGTCCCCCCCACCCCGTACCCTACCCCCCTGCACACCCTCCCCCCTCCCCCCAGCTGTCACCATGGTAATGCCTTCTTTGAGCCCCTGCCTTGAGCAGGGCCTCCTGAGAGCACAGCAGGTGGAGCCTGGGGCTTGGGGGCCGCCACTCCCCCTCATGGGTGGAAGCCAGCCTGCTGGCACTCGCACCAGTGGGCAGGGCACACTGATGCCCACAGTGTCCCCCCTCAAGGGCCACTGTCCTCAATGGTCTTTCCCTTTGGGTGGGGAGGCTGCGGGTAGTGTCTAGCCTGGCGACTGCCAGCTGCCTGAGAGCATGGACACAGCATGTGGGGGGCAGCAGAGACGGCCACCCAGAGTCTAAGGGCCTGTGGTGAGGGATGGTCCCTGGGAGGAAATGACACCCCTGTGGTGGCCAGCAGACCATGCACAGGAGCCCGTCTCGTTGAAGAGGGAGGCTTACAGAGGACCCTCACGATGCCCTGGCATGGGGGTCAGTGACACCTGGGGTCAGATGGGGTAGCAGTGACCTCAGGGTGGAGGTATAAAAGGGCCCCCAGGACTCATGAGGCGGTCCGGCAGCACAGGCAGCCCGGGAAGTGCGGGAAGAGGGGAAGAGGATCCTGGGGGTGCACGTGCGTGGGCTGGAACAGCAGAGGCTCGGCGCTGGCCCAGAGCCAAGGTCCCGGGTGGCTGGACGGCGGCTCGCTCCCCCCCCCCCAGGCCCGACGGAGAGGGCGCCCCCCAGTGAAAGCCAGCGGGCCAGCATCCAGCGGGAGGCCGCTGACAGACAGCTGTATTCGGGCTTCGGGGCTGGGCGGCACCGGGCCGGCGGAGCCTGGGACAGGGCGGCTCGGGCCTGGTGGACTCGGCTCGGCCCGTTAGATTCTGCCCGCGAAGGTCCCTTCCTCGATCTGCTCGGTCCATCGCTGCACCTGGCGCAGAGCGAGGCCCGGCTCAGCCCGCCGCCGCCGCCGCCG